GGGATGAACACATCTGTGCAATCTAAAGTGTATATTACCAATCCACCAGGAAAAATATATATAGGGGCCTCCCCGGTGGCGCAGCGGTTGAGCGCTGGGTTGCGAAGCTGCCAGCAACCTCTGCTGTGCCGGTTCGATCCCCGGCTGCTCCCAGGCCACCGGAGGAGGGTCCCATATGGCGCGCAGACCTCTCCTGCCGCCCGCTGCTCCCCTCAGCAGTGTACTTCATCAGTCTGCCTATTCTGTTTCCCGCTCTGGCTCTGGTGAATTCTCTCACCCTCCCGCGCTTCTGACTGTACCCAGTGCTTGTATATATGCATGTATCAATCAATCAATCAATAAATAAATAAAAAATAAATCTTTAAAAAAAAAAATATATATATATAGGCCTGGGAATTATTTTCTCTAATGCAAATTAAATTAGAAACAAGGGAATGCCTCAAGGATGCTCAGTGCCTACTCTGCTCTTAAAAGGTGAAATACATGATTTAAGAACTACTCAGTCCTTCAAATTAGGGAGAAAATTTGTTTTACAAAACTTGTATCAAAGAAATATCACACCTTTTGCTCTAATCTTTAAAGATGGAAGTCATTTTTCTGGCTATATTATCAATTCATTCCTTCTAAAATTCTAACTTTTATCTATTTCTATAAGTTCCTCCAATTATTTTTATATCACATATAAATTTTTGTTTTACAGAAATGTATCTTGCTCTTTTGGAGTTCATGTTATCAGCATTTATGTAACATAAATATTGTTTCCACCTCAGCAAATCACTTTCAGTGATTTCACAGAATTTTCCCTGGATGAAGAGTCCATAACTTACATAACCCAACCCTATTTGTGAAGATTTTTATTTCTAATTTTTTACTATATATAATGATGTGATGCATAAAAACCCTGTGACAATTGGCCATTGTTCATGATGTCCCAATCTCTACCCAGGGAACTTCTACTCTAAAATAGCAAACATCACCTCCTATACATAGCATTTTCTCATGCTTCAAAATAAAGCTAATTTCTTGATATTTGTTGAGTATACCTATATGCACAAATACATGAAGACATGAAATGAACCTCAAGCTGACATAGCTTGCTTCCAACATTTATGTTATAATTATCCTCTCAGATGTTGGTCTCTTCCATGTAAGTAGGAGCATCTCAAGAGAAAGAATAACACAACAAATGTACAATAAGTAAGTGTATGTTAAATGAATGACTCCCCAACATATCTAATAATGATCATCATATATCTTCCCTTCAAGAGTATTACTGAGCACTTACTACTGTGCTATTACCCTGCATTCTGCAGAAGTGAAATAAGGTATGCCCACACATAAAGGTTAATGATAGCTTAGGAATACCAAAGAATAAACGAAAGTAAATCAAATTGGAAAATGGTAAATAATATAAAAACATACAATGTTGATAACAGTATGTGAGAAAATACATATTGGTCTCTACTCCCAGTCTGAGCACAGAGCTCCTGAAATCCTTGCAAATTCCTGAGTGATAAGAACACTAGGAGCATCTTTTCTTCTACTTAACACTAAGGTGACTCGGGGTAGACTCCTGGATGACTCCTGAATGGGGGCTGGTCACCAGAAAGACCAAGGAATGATTGGAAGCTTGGAAAGATGAAGAGTTGTTATTACCAAGATGGAAAAGGCAGCAGGAGGAGCAGGTTTAAGAGGAGGCTGTGCTAGGCATGCTAAATTTAATATGCTTATTAGTCATCCAAGTGAAGATGCAGAGAAGCCAGCTGGAAAGACAGCACTGGAAATCAAAGGGAAGATTATTAAAATTTCCTTGTATGTTATATGGCAATGACATTACTGGCCCAAATTATTTCGATCCCAATCATTTTAAAGAGCAACTGTATCTTTCAGTTTTAATAAAATTGAAAAGCAGACTTTTAACACTAAGGACTAAGAATAGTATTTTTCATTTCATCACTGAAAGTCCTAAAGTTAATTTTATCTGGATTTTTAAAATTTAGTGAACAGTGACATCCTTTAGGATTCAATGGCCTACTGAAATGATAAAGTTTCAGTATCTGAGCAGAAAGAGTTATAAATATGAACACAAAAAAGTTGGAGAGAAATTTCTAAAATCAGGATGAAAAAAGGCCAACATGTGACTGCAGAATGTTCCAATGGACACATACACTAAAAGGCAACAACTGAGTCAGTCAACTGACAGTATAAATAACCTAATGGGACATAACATGGCTGCCAAGATTGATGCCTTCTTCCAGACACATTTCACTAAGTTTCCCTATTTATTTTCTTCTCAGAACACACTGCCAATCTTATGGTAAAAATAAGGAAGGGTGAAGGATGATTCTGGAGAGACAATGGAAAAATGGGAAGCATTAGGAAACTGTCTCGCCTAGACACTAAGTGCACCAATCAAACCTGCCTGATAAAATTATTTTTAGCCATGCAGTCTATTGAAGGCTTGTTGACTTTCAATAAAGGGCTTGCATGATAAATTCTGCTTAATTTTGGTCAATTTTCGTCCTCAGTACAGTAGTGGCTACCTATCCCCAACCCCTCAGCATGTGAAGCAATTGTGCATTCATTCAAAGATTAACTTGTTTGGAAGCCCAGCAAGGCAAAAAGGACCATGTCCTCCAAACACCAAGGATCTGTCTTCTAATAGTGAATTCCTGCTTCTGATCTCAGAGGTGCAAAATGAAGAGACCCGTGACCATTGTGTTACACCTACACATTTTACTGCAAACTTCTTCAACAACTAGAGTGACTTCCAGAGAATTTGCTTAAGTACTTCTTTATCTCTTAATTTTTCTTTTCTCCTTTGGCGATCAAACATTATATACTAGTATACTGTACTTCCAAAATACCAACAATAATGTAAGTGAACATTACCTCAATAAAATAAAAAGCAAGTGTATATATGAGTAAAATTAGAAATTGACCATATGTACCCAAGGAAAGGTACAGGCCCATAAAACATCTAAGAAGAACTTAAGTTGACACCTCAGGCTGATTTTTGGCATAAAATAAGCCTACAACAATAAGGAAAACAATAAACAATGACAACAGCAAATCCTGGGGAAGGGGGACAATATAATTTCCAGAATTACCAAGCTATTGTTTTCAAATATCCAAATCAAAATACATACAAAGAAACAGGAAAGAACAGCCTATTCAACAGAAAAAATAAATCAATAGAAACTCTCCTAAAATAGATACAATGATGGATCTACTAGGAAAAGACTTCAAATTTGACAGCTATTTTAAAGAAGTCTTAAAAAACTAAAAAAAGAGAGAAAGTCAAGAAAATATTGTATAAACAAAATGGAAATACCATAAGAGATATGAGACCATCTAAAAAGACATTCTTAGGATCAACATTGAAACATGATATAGGGATATGTGGAAGAAATTGTGACTACTATAGAAATTGATGAAGAAACCTATGAAGAGATCTATAAATCAACAATATGGAATATCCCAAGGCTCAATGTCCAGGGAGATGGTACTATACTATACTGAGAGTTGGCTAAAACAAAGAATTTATCCCATATGGAAAATAGCAGACTTTATACAACTGTCTCTTTGGTGACCAATAAATGTGGTCACCAAGACAGAGAACAGTTTTTTAAGGAGTTAATCCGCTCCAATCGTTTTTTCAGACACTTTGGTTTATTTTTCCTTTAAATTGAATTTCCCTTTCTTACATAAAAAAATAATGGCTAGATTGTGACATATGCATTGTAACAAATGGACAGACTGTGACTATGGATTTATATACAGCAATGAACAAACTGAATAAAAAGTAGCTACATGGGTCTACAGGGATAACTTTCACAATGTTAAATGAAAGAAGAAAGAAGCCCACTCTGGTTTAGTATTTCAACATTCTCCTTGTACCTCTGATCCATTTTTTTCCCACAGCTCTCATCTTTCTGACTATACTGTATGCACTTTAAGAACATGTCTTTAATCTTTAATTTTAGTTGTGGTACTGTTCGCAAATGGTCAAAGTACCTAAAAAAATGTTTGGAACATAGTACTTTCCTAGTAAATGTTTCCTGAAAGAATTAGACTGATTTCAATTACATAAAGTTCAAGTACAGGCAAACCTAAGCACCATATTGATTAGGGATACGTACAGATAATAAAGCTATAAAAAAAGATAATGAGGACCTCCCCGGTGGCGCAGCGATTGAGCGCTGGGTTGCGAAGCTGCCAGCAGCCTCTGCAGCGCCGGTTCGATCCCCGACCACCGGGCGAGGGTTCCCACATGGCGTGCAGACCTCTCCTGCGGTGTCCACTGCTCCCCTCAGCAATGTATTTCGTCAGTCTGCCTGTTCTGTTCCCTGCTCTGGCTCTGGTGAATTCTCTCACCCTCCCGCACTTCTGACTGTACCCAATGCTTGTATAAATAAATAAATAAATCTTTAAAAAAAAAAAAAGATAATGAGTATTAACAGAAATTATGACATAAGTAATTTTTGGGGTAGGGAAGACAAAGGAAACACAGGAAGGATACAGAGGAAATTTCTGTGCTTTTAACCTGAATTTCAAATGGTATATGGGTGTATACATGTGTATATAATGTACATGTGTACAGGGATACATTTTACATATATATACACATAGATATACATGACATACTTTATATTAAGAAAAAAATATTGAAAAAAATCCTTTTGCACTTCTCCCTTCATCTCGACTCTGACTCATCCATCACTACTACAACTCAACACAAGTCAGGTGACAATACTTCACTCTGTAAAGCACTCTAAAAAACTGTCTAGGAATCTGATCAAAATTCTAAGATTTTACATTGATTCTATTTCCACTTGAACTAGGAGTCATCAAGTATCATGTATTAGTCTACAGAGTGAGAAAGTTTTTACATCAACCAATAAGACACAAACAGTAAAAACTGATTTGGAGTGTCACCTGTTGGATATGTACACATAGACATATCTTAATTCAATACGCAGGAAGTATTTCAAACATACCTGTATGCTGCCAAACTCAACATTCTCATAATGGAAATGGGCACATTCAGCCATCTTCGGAAAGTGACCTTTAGTGAAGGGTAACCTGAAGCAAATGAAATAAATGAGCTACAAGCTACTGGAATAGCCAAAATTACTGATCCTAGGGGGGAAATACTGGGGTTAAAGAGCTCATGCAAACAAAACTATTTAAGAAGCACATGCGCATGAGCACACATATACCCACACAACCATTTTCAGAAATACACTGAGCCAAATGAACGGTACATTCGGTGCATAAGGCAAAATGAAAAAAAAAAAATTTAAGCATCACTATACTCTCCTAATTGTGATCCAAGTCAGTGACCATAGAAAAACTGTGCTTCTGGTGAATGTTATGGAATCTGATTGTAAACAGCCAGCTTCTCATGAGAAGCAGCATTCCCACCACAAAATACGAAACCAGATTTTTTACCTGTGAATGTTGTCGCAGCCCATCAGTCCTGGATTGGTGGGTCTGGATGCAGAATAAACATTTTTATCCTTGTCTATTCTCTATTTACAATGAAACATAACTATCTAACTCTACACCTGATAAATAGATGCTTTATTTGTTTAAAACTGAAATAGATATCTTCAGAAATATAAATCAACTACTAGCATCCATTTTAGGATTTCTCAAAGGATTTTAGGATTTCCACTTTAGGATTTCTCAAATGGATTTCTCAAAATCCATTTTAGGATTTTTCTAATTAGTGAGTATGTATTAATAGTACCAAGAAAGATGCACATGTATTGCTCCTATTAACTAAGTACAAAATTACTCATGACATTAAGTTGTTTCAAGAACAAAAATACAGTATATTTTTAAACATGCAGATAATCTTCAGACCTATTTAACTAATTGTTGAGACATAAATTAAAGCTTAACAATACATGGACAGTACAAGCTTATTTAGTAAAGAATCTAAATAAAAGCTTTAAGAGAGCAAGGAGATGATTTACAGGAATTTGTTTTCATACCTACTGTAAAATTATACTTACTTTTTTACATGCTTAACCTTCATACTGGCTGTACTGCCACATGTCTTAAGTGTAAGGTCTCCAGGAATCTCTGGAACGTCTGCTCCTCTTGCCTTTTTAAAAACATTAAAGATGAAAGATTTATGAATATTCCTTTAGCATGAATACGTTTTAAAAAAAGATTAAAATTAATGGTTCTGCTGACTTTATACCAATAGGAACACATATTGTTTCAATTACTTCTTTTTAAAATAAGATATTGAATCTAATAAATAAGAAAAAATCACCTAATTTAAGTATTAAATTGTACTGTATAAGGAAGCTTCTGCAAAAATAAAGTTTTTCATGCTTTAAATCAAATTTCAAAGTCAGCTCACATATTATGTATCTTGGCACAAACTAAAATCTCCCCTGGGTGCTGCTGAAATAACTTTGGTTACAATGATTAATAATAAAGTTTAAAATTGTAATATGAATATAATTATGATATAAATATTACAACATGCATTTTTTACACTAAAATTTGAAAATGACATGTATATAATATTGCCAACTTAAATGGTGAATTTTTTTTTTTACTTTTATGACATTCAGCTTCATCAATTTAAAAACAGAAACTGGGAAAAATCAAAACGTTCTTCATACTCAAGATAAAATAGCAAATCCAAATATCTATCTTAAACAAATATATACTATAATTTTCTAAGATTTGTAACAGAAAACTTAAAGTGAATTATTATGGCCAATGTCACATGACACATTATAGGAAATTAATACAAGTAAGCAATGAAATTAAGAGACACACATCAACTTACTTTTTTAATATGATTATTATTGAAAAGTTGCCAAGAAAGTCTGGACAAAGCTAAAAACAATGACTTTCCAAAGCTATGAGGCACATGTATGAATTTACAAGAACTAACCCGTGGTATATACGTATTCATTAGAGGTCCACTGGACCCAATTTTTGTTACTGAGGTTACTATCCTTAGCATTGCTAAACTTGCTATAGATAATAGTAGTTAATTATTAATAAACAAGTTTATAAGGGTAGAGACTTCAAGATGAATCTTTCCTAGATTTCTTCTTAGAATCAAGAGGTTGATTTCAAGATCAATCTCTTTCTAGAAGTTTTCCAAAGAAAAAAAAATTCACTATTTTTTTAGTATGAAATGAAACTTATTCTATTTTACAATTGCCATATAAATCCACTGGACATTTTTATAGATCTAAGATAATAATTTTATTTTTTCCTCTATCTCAAAATGTAGCTGTTTCATAATACTACATATTATTTCATTAGCATTCATCATTATTCTTTACCATACCAGCACAATTACTAAAATAAAAATTAATGATTTTTGAAAGAAAAATTAGTGAATCCCCTACCACAGGGGTTTACAAACCTCTTCTGAAAAGGTAGAGGGCAAATGTTTTAGACACTGTCTCTGCCACCATTCAACTTGGTTATTTATAGCATAACAGCAGTGGCATACATAAATGGGTATGTTCCAACAACGTTTTATTTGTAAAAACAAGTGGCCAGTAAGGTGAAGTTTGTAAACCAGTGACCCCACAACATTAATGCAATGTGAAATAAATCATCACCCAGCTTTATTTTTTGCACTGCCCAAATTGTTACATCCCATTTCAAGAATGTACTAGAAAAACCTGGAGACACTACACCATATTGGTAGTTGGCATTTCATTTTCAGTGACTATATTTGAGAATTCCAAATCTTTCATTTTCTATATATAAAGAGAACTGACAAAGAAAGATATTTTACCATGAATAGCATAACAAAGAATGGATGTAAAGAGAAAGCAGTACTCTAGATGCTACTGATGGTGGTGAAATTGATTGTGAAATTGATTGTGACCAGGCTGAAAATATCCTAAATGACTAGTGTATAAAATAAGAATTATGGGTGAACAATATATTTCTATTGAACAGAAAGAAAATATGGCATTTTTCGTCATCAAGTCATTCAACTTAAAGTACTCTGGCATACAATATTATGTAAAAACAACCAGAATCACCTTGTTTTGCTAAAATTATGTGTGACAACATTCTTTCATCTTTTATGCTGGTGCATCAAAATTTACTTCACATAAAGAGGTCTGTGCCTATATTCTTATTAAAATTTATAATAATATTTTTACTTTTTCTTCTATAAATTATTCATAAATTGACTTAAAAACATAAAATAAGAAAGAGAGGTCCTTTCCACGGTAAATGGTGATGACTTTAGTTGGTAGACTGTCTTTTGAAAACAAATCTCTGTGTGCTACATGTCCCTACCACACATCTAAAGTGAAAAGGAGAAAACCCACCTATCCTAGAATCCACATGAGGGAGACACACATAAACCACACACCTCTGCAACCACAACTGAGTGGTCTGTGGATAGAAACATGACTCAAAGGTAAGTCCACAGGCAATCCAAAGGGGCCTGACAGGAAAACCCCTGTCTGAAAAGACAAAATTGTAATAGTTAGGCCAATGAACCAAACAGTGGTCCAAGAAGCCTTAGAGGATCTGAAAACACCATTTTTTAAACCAATAGTCTAATGAGCCTGTAACCATGTATGCTTTATCCAGTATTTTCTCACAGTCCATAAAAGTGTATTGCAATTATTTTTCCTTTTAATACTATCTTGCTGCATCCCATAAATGCTAAAAGTTTGCATCCTCATTTTCATTAGTCTGATATATCTTGATTTCTGCTTTAATTTACTCTTAAATCCAACAGTTATCAAGCAGCAAGCTGTTTAGTCTCCATGTGTTTAAGACTTTTCCAGGTTTTTTGGTAGTGCTGCTGATTTCTAGCTTTATGGCGTTACCATCAGAAAGAGTACCTGGCATGATTTTGATCTTGTAGTTTTACTGACAACTGACATATGTCCTAACATATGATCTATTCTTGAAATGTTCCATGCATACTTTAAAAAAGGTGTATGCAGCAGTTTTGGGGTAGGGAGCTCTGCACATTTCTGTTCAAGCTAGGATTTGACATTTTATAACAAAATAAAAACATCTTTCTATCATTTGATACATTCAATATAGATTTTTTTTGGAGGCTATAAAAACTATAGAGAACTGTGGAAGATTTTTAAATGGGCAAAAAAAGATAACTAAATATGTTTCCAATGGAATGCTAGCACCTTCAGGGATGACTGGATTCAATAAGGGATGTAGGATTTGTTTTTGACTAAGCTATTTTATATCTCCACAGAGTAGAAGTTACCTTTTAGCAAACTGAGACCACAAATAATTCCTATCTATAGAAATGGAAATGGTATCCAAAGGAACTGAATAGCTTTGTATCCATTTGCATCCATTTTAATCTGACTGATCTGAAATGTAAGAAGCTTTGAATTCTCCTTTGAACCAGTTATAACACTTGACTGGGTCCTTCATTAATAAGCTAAATATTTTTTGCATGTGTTTACTTTATAATTGTGTGAGTCACAATTACATCTTCTTTTAAAAATTCTATTTTTCAGGAAAATGAATACAAGATAATCCCTACCCTTCTTAAAACAACTCACAATACAGTATGAGAGACAGATACATTTGTAACCAATGAGAATATGATGAGATTAGGATTATGATAGAAACATGAAAAACATACTATGAGAATTAAAATAAAGTCACTTTCCATCTGAAATGTTTAGGAAAATTTTAATTCTTAAGCTTTAATTATAGGAGTATGCAAAGGTCAAGAAATTTTTCATATAGCCCATGAACTAAAAGTAATTTTTGTATTTGTTTAATATTCGTTTTCATATAGCCCTGAGCTAAAAGCAATTTTTATATTTGTTTAATATTTAATATAAAATTTCATATTTTTAAAATTTGCGTATTTGTTCAATAAGTTTCCAAAAAAAGTGTAAAAATGATATGAAATTCAAATATCTGTGGCCATAAATAAATTTTTATTGTAACACAGTTATACTCACGTAATTTCCATGGCTTTACAATGGCAGAGCTTTGCAGCTGCTACATAAGTAAAACTATGTGGTACAGTCATCAATTCACAATGCTGCTAAGTACATCATAAACAGCATTACTGAGTTATATAACTCAACAGCATTTCAAGTTCTACATCTATTGCCATATCACACTTTTTAAATTACCAATTCATACACATTACGTAAAAATCAAGAAAAGAAGAGATAAGTAGGCTTTGGATATCATCCCTTTAAGACAAAGGGAAAGGTATGTTTGTTTTTAATTAGATGGCAAAACATTGTGTTCATTATGCAGTGAATTTTACTAAAAGAACAGAATATACATCATTACCAAACTATGCGCTCATCACAATATTCTAAAGTAAGGAAAGCAACACACTGAAAAATTTGAAAATTTAAAATAGAGTATTCATCACATGGAATTTGTTCACAAAAATTAAGGGGAAAAAAAAAAACCCAACAAGATTGCAAGCAAAGTACATTTTAGTTCATTTGTTAGCCAAGGAAGGAAAGACATTTACCAATGTTGAGAAAAATTAAATTATGTTTACCTATAACAGTCAGAGAAATGTGTACAGGAGAGAAAAAAAAAACTGGTTAAGCCAATAATTAGCCTTTTGATGAGAAGAGTTACTTGAAGAAACGAGGACACTGGAAGCAAAATAAACAGTGAATTAAATACAAGACAAATTATTTCAAGTGGTTTTCCTTAATCTTGATGAGTCAACGAATGTAACCAAACTTGTTCAACTGCTGTTGAGGAATCAATGCTGAATATATACTGGCTGAAAGAGTATCCCCTATGTACAGTCCGCATGGGGAAACTGCATTTGAAGACTATTCTTAAATAAATTCAGTAAACATTAATTAAGTACATCCTGAAGTGGAATCTACTAAGATATGATCCATTTTTAAAAAAAAGTGAATCAGAAAAAGTTTCATAAAGTTTCAACTTCTATTATTGTAATTCTATGCATTTGGTAATTAGCTTTTGCTGGTTTGATATTTCTTAATGAATTTAACCTAAAAGTACAAGCTGAAAAATAAAAATAGCTTGTATGAGGAAACTTACATTGTGATAATACTGTTAGAATCACAAGTTGTTATATGCATAGTTTCCAAACTATCAAACATTAAAATAAGAAGGGAGAACTGTATTATCACATAAATTTGTGGTGAATATATTTTTCAAGCTCAAACTACAGAGGTTCAAGCAGGGTTTTTCAGACCATAATCCAAGTGCCACATTAAATCTTCATACTAAAAATCCATTTAACTTTGCAATAGAGGAACTTTCACACAATCAGTTGGAACTTTGCAATGTAATGTTATGCTAAAAGGCAAATATGAAGAAAAGAATCTAAAAGATTTCTATAAATGTCTTCTAAGCAATGAATACGGTCAATTAAAATCACATGCTCATGTGTTTAGTAGTATTTAAGTGAGTGAAAAAGCATTTTCAAAATGAAATATGAAAAATCTCATTAGAAATCAACATTGACCAATGAACATTTACTCAGTTTTTATAACACTAGTTTTGAACCATAATTAAAATGTTATCCTCCACAAAAGAAATGTCATTGCTTTTATTAATAGATCTGAATTATAAAAAAGTAATAGATTACATAGCTATCTCAAACTTATGTGGAAACCATAGTGTTGATTTTCCACCTATTCCCAACAAAAAAAGTACTTTTCCAGTACCTCGTGAATATAAATGCCATTCTTCAAGTTGATTATGCAAAAAACCCTTAAGTCATCCCCCACATCTCACAGTTTTTATCATTAGGAAAATACAGTTGGCTTTCTCTATAAAACTATATGCATAATCCAACCTTTTTAATAATATCTATCACCATCCTGGTTCAAGCTATCATCACTGTTCACCAATTATAAAATAGTCTTCTAACTGGAAAAAAGGAGGTATATTCTCTTTTGCCTGCCCCTTGATCCTACTGACAAAGACTTCCTTTAAAGTTTTAAGTCAGAACATGTCAATCATCCAATGATTTTCCATCTTGGCAAAAAGAACAAAATCCTTAAAATGAACTACAAGAAACTACATAACCAGCTCTTCACTCACTCAAACAACTTCTCTGACTTCAATTCCATCTTGTTCAATTTGCGTTTCTTCCAGCCTATTTTTTTGTCCTATGCAACAGTCTTTAAATTGTTTTTCATGGACTAGAATGATGTGTCCCCAGAGAAACTACTTGCTCCTCATATTCTTCAGGCATCTGCTCAAAACTTACCTTCTCCCAAAGGCCATCTGTGTCCACCCTATGTAACTAGTAACGATGCTTTTACTCTGTCCTATCACTCTGTAATTCTATTATTCTGCATTAATTTTCTACAATAGCATTTACCACCTCTTACCATATTATAAATTAATTTTCTTCTCCTCCTACCCCATTAAAAGATAAGTTCCAAGAAAACAAGAAATTTGTGATTTGTTCAGGGCTCTGTCCCAGAGTATAAAACAGTACCTGGCTAGAATATTTTCTCAATAGAGATTTCCTGAACAAATGAGCAAAGCAACAAAAATATTTTTTCTGTGAACAATGTATCCTCGGTTCCCTCACTAAAGTAAGTAAAATACAGTTATATACATATACAAAAACTGATTTACCATTGCACTAAGTGTTTCTTCCCAATCAGGCCGCTCTCTAGGATGTACGTTTCTATGTAGTTCTGGAACAAAATCATCCTCTTCAGAATGTACCGAGGACTTCATCTTCCTAGAGAACAAAAACATGAGAGACTGTGATAAGAATTTCCATTTCTATGAAAGTTTTTCAATGACTACAATTTAAGGAGCAAAAAATTACATCACGTTTGAAATGTATTTAAAAGAGTTTTCATGGCTAGTATTGATCCTCCATTTCTACTCTGGTTTTCAGAGAACTTTCCTGATATATAACAAACAAACACCTGTTTTTATTCCAAGAAGATAAATCTATTCAACACAGTATGAACCTTGCAAAGATTTGAAACAGCCGTCAATATTTACAGAGCTGTACTACACATAGTAAAACCTCCGGATGAAAGATGAAATATGGTACTTCTCATTCTAATTTGTGAAGCATCCTATACTGAATCAGCACTGTCAAGAATAACTATGAATGTGAGAAAAAACACAGAAGGTATAGGAAAGCAATCGATATAGGTAAGACTTCCAGGGCTATAATCATTAAGAGAAAAAATGACCACAAAGCAAATTCCACATTTAATCATTCTTTTTATATTAGAAACTTAAATAAATGATGGGAAATAGAGCCCAACTATTAACAGCAGTCTAACTAGGTTGAGAAAGCAGAGGTTGTAAGCTGGGGTTTACAAAGCATATAGGTTTTTTGTTTGCTTTGTGGGGGGATGTCCCCCAAAAGACCTATAGAGAAAAAGTCCAACATCTACATGGAAATTCCCCTTAAACTGTTAGCTAATTTTTAACCTTAAAAGTATATAGGAGGGCCTCCCTGGTGGTGCAAGGGGTTAAGTCTCAGAGCTATGAAGCTATCTGCAGCCACTACAGCATGAGTTTGATCCCCTGCAGGATAGGGAGCTAACCCACATGGCTGAGCAGACCTCTCCTGTCTCGCCCACTGCTCCCCTCAGCAGTATATTTCAGTCAATCCACCTGTTCTGTTCCCCACTCTGTATCTGGCGAATCCTCTCGCGCCCCCCCATGTGTACCCCAGATCTTGTATGCATAAATAAACCTTTTTAAAAATAAAAATAAAAATGAACAATGATGTAAAATATTAATTAATTAATTAATTTTAGGGAAAAAAGGGGCCTCCCTGGTGGCGCAGGTGGTTGAGTGCAGTGCTGTGGAGCTGTCCGCAGCCTCTGCAGTGCCGGTTCGATCCCCGCCAGCCTCAGAGCAACCCACATGGCGAGCAGACCTCTCCTGTCTTGCCCACTGCTCCCCTCAGCAGTGTATTTCAGTCATCCTGCCTGTTCTGTTCCCCATTCTGTCTCTGGTGAATCCTCTCATCCTTCCACGCATCTGACCTGTACCCCGGTTCTTGTATAAACAGAATAAATAAAAAAACACCCAATCTGGAACTGAGGAACAAAGAAGACAGAAGATAAAGAAACTGGAGTCTCAGCCTTTAAGTTCTTAAAGGAAGTAAGAAAGAATCTTTTCTTTCTAATATTCAAACTCTGACCAAAATCCATTTTGCAGGTCCCCAAAGGTACTGTGTTTTGGCCCAGGCTTCTTTCTCAGCCTGGAGAGTCCCTGAGATGGCCTGTAACACAGTTTCCTCCTCTGAAGAATGGCCTGAACACTCACTGCAGTGTATTGTACAGCTATAGCCAGACATTTTATGTGGAATGTAAAGTATGCAATGTCATCAGAAGGTGTTGAGCAGGATATGCACTTAGAAGTTTGAATTTACTGTTCAGAAGAACTCAAAAGACATTTCTCCAAAGAGGAAATGCAAATGGCCAACAGGCATATGAAAAAATGTTCAACATCCCTTATAATCAGGGAAATGTAAATCAAAACCACAGTGAGATACTACCTTACACCAGTAAGAATGGCACATATCAAAAAAACAAGCAACAACAAATGTTGGCGAGGATGCGGCAAAAAAGGAATTCTCCTACATTGCTGGTGGGAGTGCAAACTGGTCCAACCATTGTGGAAAGCTGTCTGAGGTTCCTCAGTCTACTAAAAATGGAGCTACCATATGATCCGGAAATTCCACTCCTAGGGATCTATCCAAAGGACACAAAAACAGTGATTCAAAAGAGCACCTGTACACCTATGTTTATTGCAGCACTATTTACAATAGGTAAAACCTGGAAACAACCCAAATGCGCAAAAATAGATGACTGGATCAAGAAGAGGTGGTATATATACACAATGGAATATTATTCCACAATCAAAAAAGATAAACTCATGCCATTCACAGCAACATGGATGGAGCTAGAAGTAATTATGTTCAGTGAAATAAGCCAGAAGGAAAAGGAAAAATATTGGATGGTTTCACTTATAACAGGAATACAAGGGAACCAAATAAGACATCAGTGCAAAAATAATAATAACAACAACAGTACAAAACACAACAAAGCAAAAACAGACAATTATAAACCAGAGACATCCTGCAGGGGAGGAGGAGGGAGGGGGTGAGAGGGAAGGAGGGAGGAGTAGAGGGGACTATGGTGATGGTGCATGGGTACCTTGGGGAAGGAGATTTATGGGGACTCAATCTGAGGGGGTGGGGGGAAGCAAATATTGTCTAAAAAATGTAAAAAATGATAAATGTTGAAAGAAAAAAATGAAAAAGAGAAAAAAAAGAAGTTTGAATTTGACTGGCTCATGTTTCTGAGTTCCTCTGTTCTAAAACCCATGCTTGCCATATTTTCATATCTTCTTGGAAAAAATGGGAGAAAAAATGTTTTTCTTACATTGTAAAAATAAGGATTCCAAATATGCACAGGAACCATTTGCAGTTGTGACCACTTATTTGTCAAAATAGCAAAAATCCAAAAGCTTAACAAAACTTTGGTGAAGCTGTGGGAAAATGGGCACTTTTACCCACTGCCAGGGGAATGTAAACTACCGTAACTCTGTGGAAGGGAATTTTATGTCATCTAACAAAATTACACATGCCTTTATCCTCTGACCCAACAAAGTCACTTCTAGCAATCTAACTTTTGGCAAAAATTCCCCAAAAGACATAATAGACCTAACAACCAACTGCAAAGTACATACCTTATTTGAGTTCAGGTTTGAGCAAATAAATTCTAAGATAAGCAAATGTGAACACTGACTGGGTATTTCATAATTCTGAAATATTATTATGGTTATGTTTTTCTTAAAGATCCCTTTGTGTTTGAAATGCTTACTGAAAGACTTATGAATGGAAAACAAGGTCTGGGATGTATTTAAAAATAATCCAGGAGGAGGAGATGCGTGGATGACAAGTACTTGGGGTTTATGACAGTGTCCTATTTTAGTATATGTTTGAAAGTTTCTGCAATTAAATTAAAACATTACAGATAATACTTAAAAAAAAAAAAAAAAGACATTGCAGGGCCTCCCCGGTGGTGCAACGGTTGAGCGCAGGGTTGCGAAGCTGCCTGCGGCCTCTGCAGCGCTGGTTTGAGCCCTGGCTGCTCCCTGCCACCGAAGGAGGGTCCCACATGGCGCACAGACCTCTCCTGCCGCCCGCTGCTCCCCTCAGCAGTGTACTTTGGCCCTTCTGCCTGTTCTGCTCCCTGCTCTGACTCTGGTGAATTCTCTCACCCTCCCGCGCTTCTGATTGTACCCAATGATTGTATAAATAAATAAATAAATCTTAAAAAAAAAAAAAAGACATTGCAGAGTAGCTATTTGAACTCAGGCAGTCTGTAGCAAAGCCCACTTGGTATTCAAGCAAAAGAAATAAAAGGCATAAAAAATATAAAGGAAAATAAAATTTGCATCATTTGAAGAGGACACAATAGATACACAATCAAAAAGACTAAAAATAGTTAAAATAAGCTAAACAAGTTTGTAAGAACACAGAATATGTCAAATGCTAAAATCAAGTGTATTTGTACATACTAGTATCATACAATTACAATTACTTGTTAAAGAGAAACATAGAAGACAAGTAAACCATTTTTTCTTTTTTAAAGATGTATTCATTTATTTGTGTGTTGTGGAACTGGAGTATAGGCCAGAGATGTGGGGGTTGAAAGGATTCACCAGAAACAGAGTGGGGAACAGAACAAACAGATTTACTGAAATACACTGCTGAGGGGAACAGTGGGTGAGACAGGAGAGGTCTGTTGCAATATGTGGGTAGTTCCCTGGCCCAGATACAACTCTTGTTGCAGTGGCTGGTGATAGCTTGACAGTGCTGAGACTTTAATCCCTAAGCCATCAGGAAGGCCCAGTAAACTATTTTTTATACAACAGAATACGACACAGAAGTGAAAAAAGAACTGCTGCTGTCACTTGTAACACATGGATGAATCTCAAACTGCTGAAAGGAAACCAGTTTTAAGAGTACATGCTGTGGGCCTCCCCGGTGGCCCAGCGGTTGAGCGCTGGGTTGCCAGGCTGCCCGCAGCCTCTGCAGCACCTGTTCGATCCTCGGCTGCTCCCCGCTGCTCCCCGGCTGCTCCCCAGCCACGGGAGGAGGGTCCCACATGGCGCGCAGACCTCTCCTGCCGCCTGCTGCTCCCCTCAGCAGTGTACTTCGGTCCTCCTGCCTGCTTTGCTCCCCACTCTGGTGAGTTCTCTCACTTCCCGCACTTCTGACTGTACCCAGTGCTTGTATAGATAAATAAATAAATCTTTAAAAAAAAAAAAAAGGCACATGCTGTTCCCAATATACAATTATCTAATCATCACCTTGTGCACCTTAAACTTATAAAACATTATGTCAATTATATCTCAATAAAGCTTGAAACAAAGAATTCATACTACATAATTCTGTTTATACGAAGTTCAAGAAAAGTGAAACTACTTTATTGTGACAGAGGTCAGAATAATGCTACCTTTGGGAAAGGTGCTGATTAGAGGGGCAAGGTGTTAGAAATAACTTAAGTGGGGTGCCAGATAATTTATGTCAATTGGGTTGTGATTACATGGGTTTACACATTTATATAAATTTTTCAAGCACTTACACTATTAGTGAGACTTGTTATATGCAAGTTGTATCTTAAAAGTATAAAGTAAAAGTTTATTGGCAAATGTTACACAACATTTTAAAAGGTATAAAATTTAGGTTTATAT